GGTGCCAGCAACGGCAGCCAGTTCCAGTGCCATGGGGCTCCAGCTGGGAGACGGCAGTGAAGAAATCGGGTGCTGGCAGGGCAAGTGGCAGGAAAGTGTGGGGCACCACTGCTCTCCTCCTTGTGTCCACGGAAGTAGAGGGCCACCTGCTTCCGTATTGTGGATGTGCGTGGGGCCTCGTTCATGCTGCACAGCTGTGGGACACCGAGGAGAAGTTAGACTTTTCATTGGCTGAAGGATAAAGGGCTGAGGGAAGGGAAGGGAAGGGAAGGGAAGGGAAAGGGAAGGGAAAGAAGGGGAAGGGAAGGGAAGGGAAGGAAGGGAAGGGAAGGAGGAAGGGAAGGGAAGGGAAGGTAAGGGAAGGGAATGGGAAGGGAAGGGAAGGGAAAGGGAAGGGAAGGGAAGGGAAGGGAAGGGAAGGGAAGGGAAGGGAAGGGAAGGGAAGGAAGGGAAAGGGAAGGGGGAAGGGAAGGGAAGGGACAGGGGAAGGGAAGGGAAGGGAAAGGGGAAGGGAAGGGAAGGGAGACTGAGGAACTGAGAATGGACGGGGGGAACTACACACCCCTTGTCTGTGAGGGGTGGGCATACCGTCTTGTTCATGTTGACTTCCAAGCACTTCTTCAGCCGGCAGGCCCGGCACTGGTTCCTGTGCGTCTTGTCCACCGGACAGCCCCCCTGCAACAAACGCGGCGAGCCGTCCGGTCGGGGGGTGCTCAGCCCGGCGCCCCGCCCTCCCCTCCTTTCCTTTCTTGCGAAGGCCGGGCCGCCTTCAGCACCCGAGACAGCGACGGCGGCGGCAGCCCAGGGGCGTCCAGGGACACCGGGAGTCTGCGCGCAGCACTGGGATGCGGGTGGATGGGAAGTGGGGAAGGAGTGGAGCTCTCTAAGGCTTTGTTTTATTTCACTATATTTCATTTATTTCATTATATATTTGCCTGTTTTCACTCTGCCTCGGTCTTAGTTGGGCGGAGGGAGCGATGGGACGCGAGGTAGCGAGCCGCGTACCTGATTTCCCGACTTGCAGACGTAGGTCCTGTTCCTCCTGATGCTCCGCTTGAAGAAACCCGAGCAGCCATCGCAGGCGTACACCCCATAGTGCTTGCCGGAGCTGCGGTCCCCCGCACACTTTGCAGGGGATGTCCAAAATGCGACCTGAAAGCAGAGAGGGGAGGGAAGGAGAGCAGCTCTGAGCGGCCTGACCTCCACGGGGATTAGCCCCGGGAGCCGCGCTACAAGCAAATAATGAAGTGATTTTATAGCCAACTTTCTTTTCCTTGAGCAAGTGTCAGTTTTCGACAATGAGCATTATTCCATGCACCGCTACGTTTATTTGGGTCTCCTATAATCGCCAAGCCCCCACTTTGGAAGGGGGAGATTACAGCCGCGGGGGCAGCAGGATTTGCTGCTGGGAGCGGCGGGGGCGGGCTGGACTTCCCCCCCTCCTGAAGCTCTGCACTTTCCCTGGGCGGGGGAGCGGTCAGAGAAATGGAGCGAAACCAAATAAAACGGGAACCAAAGAGACCCCCTCTTTCCTTCCCGTAGGAGTCCCAGCGCAACGGGGCCGCTTCGTGCCTATGTGAGGGTTTATTCAACCCGAAATGGCAGCAAAAAAGTCTCCTCCCGCCTCTGTGCGGCGAGAGGGTGCTCCCAGATCTGCGTCTGCTTCGGCCCCGAAGGGGTGGGAGAACTGGGGCTGGGGAGTACGGCAGCCCTGTGCGAGAGTCCCGGCCGAATCCCGCGTCGTGGCTTCGAGATGTTCACTGCCTTTTTCTTTTTTTCTTTTCTTTTTTTTCTTTTCTTTTCTTTTCTTTTCTTTTCTTTCTTTTCTTTTCTTTTCTTTTCTTTTTCTTTTCTTTTCTTTTTCTTTTCTTTTTCTTTTTCTTTTTCTTTTCTTTTTCTTTTCTTTTCTTTTCTTTTCTTTTCTTTTCTTTCTTCTTTTCTTTTCTTTTCTTTTCTTTTCTTTTCTTTTCTTTTCTTTTCTTTTCTTTTCTTTTTTCTTTCCTTTCTTTCCTTGCTTTTCTCTTTCCTTTCTCTTCTCTTCTCTTCTCTTCTCTTCTCTTCTCTTCTCTTCTCTTCTCTCGTCTCGTCTCGTCTCGTCCTCGTCTCGTCTCGTCTCGTCTCTCGTCTCTCCCTTCCCTTCCCTTCCTTCCCCTTCCCTTCCCTTCCCTTCCCTTCCCTTCCCTTCCCTATCCCTTCCCTTCCCTCCCTTCCCTTCCCTTCCCTTCCCTTCCCTTCCCTTCCCTTTCCCTTCCCTTCCCTATCCCTTCCCTTCCCTTCCCCTTCCCTCCTTCCCTTCCCTTCCCTTCCCTTCCCTTCCCTTCCCTTCCCTTCCCTTCCCTTCCTCCCTTTCCCTTCCTTCCTTTTCCTCTCTCCCTAAGGACCCCAACGCCGACGCCGCCCCTTTCCTTGGGGGAGCGCTGTGGGCGCTGTGGCCGCTGCTGGGGGGATGCTCTGCTCGGGCTCTGCGCGGAGCTCCCGGAGAATGTGGGAGCGGAGATGCTTTCAGACACGTCTCCGCCGAGGCCCTAAGACAATGCCTCCGGGCAGACAATGGGGACATTAGATAAGTGTTAACTTAATGATTCTGCCCGCTGAGCCCCGTCTGACTGCCCCCGAGGAGCGCAAGCTGCCAGCTTCTTCCCAAATGAGAACCGACAGCTGCTGCAACAGAGCGCGGCTGAGGGACGGGGATTAGGGCCGGCACCGCGCGGGGAGGGGCGGGAGGGAGAGAGAGAGGTGAAAGCATTCAAAACTTTTCCGCAATTAATAACGAGTGCGGCCGCCCCCCCACCCCCCAACCCCCCCTCCGCCCGCCGCAGGCCGCGGCCCGGAGCTGCAGGTAGCGCCCGTGGGGAGGACCGGGGCCGAGGCGCGGCCTCTGGGAGCGCGTATTACAAGTTCCCCTCGCCACCTGCCCATTGGGACACAGTGACCCGTCAAAAAGGTGTAGCATGGGAATTCGGATGGCGCACAATGCCAACTGGGAGAGCGCTCCACTTCCCCCTGCGGCTCTCCGCATCCGCGGGGCGACGGTCCGCGCACAACACACAAACACACACACGCACACAAAGGAGGAGGAGTGCTCCGGGTTTGGGGGGGGGGGGGGGGGAGATGAAGGCTCGGAGCACCCCGCGCACACCCCAGCCCGTGCGTCGCGGGGGAGCCGGGAGCTCCGGACCGGGCTCGGAGGAGAGCAGGGGGGACAGGGAGAGTGGCAGAGGGGAACTTGGGCCGCTTTCACAGCGTGGCTGTATCCAGGAGGGTTTTAAAGCTGGGGGCTGCTTAAAAATAAAATAAAGTAAAATAAAATAAAGTAAAATCAAATAAAATAAATAATAATGATAATAATGACAATAATAAAAATCAAAATAAAAATCAAACGCATTTCACAGATATATAAAAATACATATACATACACACACGCCTATATACACCGCAGATGTTCGGTGTAGGACGCACGCCATCCTCTCCTCCCGAGCTGAGCACCGCCGCTCCCCGCTCCGCTCTGCGCCCGCCGCAATCACGGCCGCGCTCTCCTCTGCCCCGCAGCACGGCGGTGGGAAAACTCGGAGCGCGATGCGGAACGAGAGACGGGAAAAACGGAAAACGGTAACGCGGGTTCAAGAGATGGCCGGGGAACTCTGTTTCAAAGCGCCGCGGCTCCCGAGGCACCGCTCCGTCCCAGAAGTTTAGAGCTAAGGAAACGGGGTTTCTCATTCTCGGTTCAGCCGGGAAACCGTTGTGACCATCCCGCGACGGGGGGTCCTCGGGAGCTTTTTTGTGCTTGTCATAATTGCTTAAAGGATAGATGGCAGCCCCGATTACTGTAATTCCATCAGGGGCTGTTGAAAGAAGTTAGCCCGGCCCGGAGGGACGGAGGCTCGCTGCCACCCAGGCGGACTCGCGGCACGGCCCGGCCGGACCCCCCGCTGCCGGGAGCCCCCAGCACACAGCGGGCGGTCGCCGGGCCCCGAGACCGCGGCTCGGACCCTCAACGCCCGTCCCCGTCCCCGCGAGGCCCCGGGAGGGGGGGAAGCCGGAGGTTCGGGGCTGGGGGGCCCTTGGGAAGGCCCCGGGAGGGAGAAGAAGGGCTCAGCGGCCCCGCGGGCTCCTTCTCCGCAAAACGGCTCCTTCGGGGCGGCGGCTCCGGGTCCTCCCGCTCTCCCACCGGGCCACTCTCGCCCGCTTTCCGCGCCGAGGGCCGCCGTCAGCCGCGACCTCCCATCCCCGGCCGAGGGCAGCGGAGGGGCAGCGGCGAGGGAAGGCCTCGGCCCCGTCCACCCGCCGCCCCCTCCCGCCCCGGCTCCTTTCGAGGCCCGAGCGCGGAGGAAATAATGTCCGAGCCGTCACTTGTCAGACATTAAATTGGATTGGGTATTTTTTCCCCCTTTGTCACCGACTCCATCCATATTGCGAACTCCGAAGGTCCCGTTGGGATTACTCTGACAGAGCCGCTGTGCGGCAGCGCTCGGGCGGCTTTAAATTCCCCACTTATGAGGCGCACGGATTTAGGATTAAGGAAAATGTGACTTTTCCGTTGTTTCTGCTTTCCCCGTTGCGGGATTATTCGGTGTAACGGGAAATGCCGTGCGCAGTGCCGTTTTTAAATCCTCCTTCGGCGGAGCCGCTTACGCGATTCGAGCGATCGGAGTTGGAAACTCTTTTTTGAACAACAAAAAATAAAGGGGTTATGCCGGAAAAGGCTGCACAAAGTCCGGCGGAGGAGGAGCGGTGCCCGCAAACCCTGCAGCCTCGCTCACCCCATCCCCGAGGGGCCGAGAAGCGAGCGGCGGGACAGCGGCTCAGCACGGAGCCCCTCGTTCTTTGCCACTCGGGTGGGAAATATGTGAAATACATACTCTTTTTTTCCCCTTTCTTCTCTCCTTCTTTTTTTCCTTCTTCTCTCTTTCCTTCTCTCTTTCTTTCTCTCTTTCTTTCCTTCTTTTCTTCTTTCTTTCTTTCTTTCTTTTAGTCTTCCTTCTCTTTTCTTTTCTTTTCTTTTCTTTTCTTTTCTTTTCTTTTCTTTTCTTTTCTTTTCTTTTCTTTTCTTTTCTTTTCTTTTCTTTTCTTTTCTTTTCTTTCTTTCTTTCTTTCTTTCTTTCTTTCTTTCTTTCTTTCTTTCTTTCTTTCTTTCTTTCTTTCTTTCTTTCTTTCTTTCTTTCTTTCTTTCTTTCTTTCTTTCTCTTCTTTCTTTCTTTCTTTCTTTCTTTCTTTCTTTCTTTCTTTCTTTCTTTCTTATTTTCGCAATTCCTAACCCAAACCTCCCCTCCCTTCCCCCCACCCCTTCGTTTTCTCTTCCCCCACCCCATCCCCCAGGCTCGGGGGGGCCCAGCAGCCCGGCCGCGCCGTTACCCACTTGTTGATCCCGCCGGCTTGCTCATGCTCGGAGCCCCGGGAGCCGCTCCGTCGGGGCGCAGCGCGGTGCCCCCCCGGCGGCGGCGGGCGGGTGAGTGCCTCCCTCGGCCTCTCAGCGCTGCTTCGCCCGCTGGGGCCGACACATCCTCGCCGCAAGGTGTTTCCGAGGTGCGGGGACACGCGGAAAAAAAAAATTGAAAAAAAAAACCAACGAAACAAAACAAAAAACAAGACGAAACAAAAGAGCAAAAAGGCAAAAAATAATAATAAAGAAACGAAACGAGCCGAAGAAGGAGCTCTCCCCGCGAGCTGAGGCTCGCGGGACCCCAGGAGGGTGCGGGGGTGGCAGCGCGCTGCCGGCGGGACTCGGGGCCGCGGCACAATGAGCGGAGGGGAAGGTGGGATGGAGCTGGCTCCGCGCGGAGCAGGAGATCAGAGCCGGCGAAAGAATGGCAGGGGGAAAAGGCGTCAGAGGAGGCAGTCTCAGCCTCTCAGAAAGTGAACGCTAGAAAAAGGGAAAGGTTTCCAGAAGTTCATTACACCGCTGACTCGGCGCTCGAAACCTCAGCCCTCGGC